CGCATTGATATTTAAACGAAGAAATCTAAACAGCCTTTCGGCCTATAAAGGCTAAATTTCTTTGCTTATGCCTTCTTTGCATAAGCAAAGAAATTAGAAAAGCGTGAAAGGAATTTAAACATTGACACAAACACTCTGACACATGCTATGTGTCTCAATAGGATGCACTCATAAAATGTGGGTCAAGATCCATCAGCGCCACTTCATAAGAACATTTAAGCACTTTAATAGTCGATTCGATTGAATTGTATAAGAAATGGTGCACTATGGTTTTCCGCTCAAATCCAAAGCTGACATAAAAAAGTATCATAATTTTAACTTAACAGGAGTAAGCTATTATTCGTCGTTATGCGTTATGAGAAGCTTGATTGTGTAAACAGACATGGAGGATTTCATTTTTCGTTTCAATACCTTACTCGTATATCCTACTAATATTGTAATTTTACACATAATTTAATATTGTAATTTAACACCTCTTAACACACATACACATGCACGCCTACACATATACACACGCACGCACACACACAAACACACGCACGCGCACACACATACACATGCACGCACACACATACACATGCACGCACACACACATACACCGGCTACATGAACATTCTTAAATATTGTTTAATTAGAAAATAAAAATAAACTGCTTATGGAAGAGCGGCGTCCCTTGACACAGGCTTTTTAGCTTAACAGAGGATCCCGATCACGGATTTTTTTTTGTACAAAAATTGTTAAGAAGAAATAAAGATTTATTATTATTTAAGTTTGTAAGTTTGCATGTTCGTATATCTGTTACTCAATCACGCTAAAAGTACTGAACGGATTTGGTACGCATTTAGTTTATGTCTGGGATTGAGACATAGGATACTCTTAATCCCAGAAAATGTAAAAAATAATCTGAGGTTCCTGTGAATCTGAGCATACCCAAAAAGATTTCCAAAGATTTGATTTCTTTTTCTTTTTTTTAGCAGTATGATCACGACGGTATCTGTATCCTCTCAGTTATACTGATATGACAAACTAGTATGACCACGAAGAAACGGGGTTACTGTCAGACCAAACTGCATCTACGATCGTTTCCATGTGGTTACCATCTAATGATTTATAATATATACCGATATATAATATACCACCAGGATAAATGAGCCGTCCCCACCTGACATTGCGTTGCGGTGGAGTCCACAGAATACGGAAAGAGGATAGAAGGGTGCTCATAGACCGTTTGTACGGGAAACGATATCGCCGCCTCCCCCTGCCCCCACTACACTTCCACCTAATAGATAATAGACAATCAAACTAAGCGACATCAAACGATCGACCGAATCAGCGTTACACCTAAGAGCAACGACGCAATTAGAACCAAGTTTTGGTCAACTTATGAGTATTGAGCTCACACATAACTGTGGCGCGCCTGCTTCGTCCACAAGGCCGTTCTTGTTCTGTAGTGGAGTCCAGATGTGAAGACTTGTTGAAGCTGTTTATCTGCCGCACCAGTCGTCCTCATCTTGCTGGCATGCAAGTTAGCTTAAACTTGTCCCTGTGAGGGGATGATGACGAGATAAGGTGAACGAAATTCTATTTAATTTGACTGGTTGGATTATCAAAATATAATAGAAACGTATTTTTTGTATACAACCAAAAAAAGATAAAGCGTTTTAAAGTTTTCTAAAGTCACTTCTAAGCTCTTCTAAGTAAAAATTATTACAAGACGAGACATCATACTATATTTTAAATCAATATATCTTTGTAATGTATTGATTATGTTAAAAAAAATACGTGTCCTATACTTTTTGATAATCTTAGATTAGTAAGATTATGAATGTATTATACGGAAAAAAATAGTCATCATCCATTGTGAAGTAGGTACTTGAGCCTCGATGACACGGAGCGAGTTTTCAACCTGCTAGCGAACTCGTTGGCTTGTAATATTTGTAAACTCGCCCCGTGTCATCGAGGCTTTAATTTACGTTTAGTGCACACGGGCCACACACCACAGCCACAAACGCTGCCACGAGAAGCGGCTACTAAAGTGGCTGAAGCGCACGACAGCGGCCGACTAAGGTAAGGGAGAGAGGGGTGGGGAATCGCGCGAGTGACGTGTGGCGGCGTTTTGTATCGGCGCATTAAGTGGCCGGAGCGGGCCACAAGAAGCGAGCAACGACGATTTGTAGCGTGTGGCGGCCACCGGCGTATCGTGTGTGGCGAGTCCATATAAAATGTATGAAAACTACAAGAAATTTGCCGGTGGCGGCGTTTTGTGGTGCACTTATTGTCTTATAAAAATATGTAAACATCTTTGTCAGTTTATCACTTTTATTGCAATTGGATTAGATTCATAATCACACAATATATAATATTATGGTATATATTTTTTTGACTCCCATAACGTACATGTCCAAATCGTTTTCATTATGTTAACATGTCAATTTACTTATTGGTATAAATAGGGGATGCGAAGAAAAAAACAATCATTATATTAAATAAGTATATATTAAATTTAATTGCACCTATAACATCGAAATTTGCGGTATACCAACCACTTAACACTAACATTATTGTCAGAGCTTTTAAAGGCCTCGGAAGGGGGTGAAGCGAACATGTTTACAAAAGTAATAAAACAAAAAAAAAACATGTCAAGCAATGGAACAGTCATTTTATGCGAGTTATATTATAGAAAAACATTACTCGCTTTTTGACGCCAATCACATAATTTTATTTATTTTGCTTGCTAAAACCATAAAATCATTTTAATTTGCTAGAATTTATTATTTTAAACAGTAATGTTTTTCAATAAAATATATTGTTACAACGTTGATGGAGCGTTACATAACTTCTTTGGCTCAGAGAAAAGAAAGATTTGATCTTGTAGCACCATCTGGACGATGAAAAAAACAAATAAAATAATAATAATAATAATACAAGCAATCATATAAATCAACAATACATCAACAAATATCAGCGAGACTTAAAGGAGGGCCTTCATAGTTAAGTAACCGTATATACATTATATAAATACATCATTGTTAAAATGTGTAAAAGTATGTAGGCAGATATGTGTTACATTTTTCTTCCTCTTGTGTATCTGTTGTTTGTACAAAAGCAGGTAATAATGGGACGGAGTTCATAAGAAAGAATTATTTATTTTTTTTTTTAAAACATAAATTAAGATATAAATATATATCTACAGCTTTTGTTATACATAATTTATCATTGTCAAAATGTGTTTATGGTGGTCAAAATATGGTCCAACTTAATTAATTATACTCTAACAAGTTGATTCTGATCATGAAATTTGGCTTTCTTTTTTACTAAATATAAAATAAATAAAAAAGTGGAATAAATCTGAGGGTAGAAAAAGAAGGTTTATAATTATTATATATTTTTATATTACACATTTTTTTATTATTAGAATATAGGTAAATTAAACTTAGTAAATGATCATTTAGTAAGGAGACAAAGCGAAATCTCTTACTTCTTGTGAAGAAAAGAAAGAAATTAAGGAGATGGAAGTGTTTTTTTTTTAAACAAGCGTAATTTCATGATAAGAATCACTCGATAAAAAAAGTTAAGACCCTGTGTAAAAAGGATAGTCTAAAAATATTTTATTTTCATAATATCGTTTTGTAAAGTACTTTATTAAATATATAATTATGTTACTTAATAATTACGGTTTATTACGGTACATGGCTGGTTTTTGACACATAATATTTTACATAAACATTAAGTATTTATCATGTAGGATTCTTTCTGGTAACTATAACGTTTTTCGACCCGTTTTGTTTAGACATTGAACCCTAATATTGAATATCTGAAAAAACTTTTAATATTTTCACTTTTTCTCAGGGTTGCGTCTTCCTATGAATAATGTGTTTTACATTGTTTTTTTTTGTATTATGCAGCCTAAACTCACGCTTGTAGCTATTTAAAAAAAATAAGTTTAATTAAAAAAAATATTACACCATTATGCACTTTGTAAATAACTCCTTGTACTTCCCGGCAGCGCCATGTTATCATGATTTTATCATTTTAAATTAAAAATTAACTTTCATCATTCATCAATCACTAAACCTTAAAATAAAATAGACAAGAAAAAAATACTTAACAAAATTTAAAGGTACTTCATTAGGAATAAAGATTTAAGAATTCAACAATAATAACTCGTAAATTAAAAAGTAGCCGCTTAGCGTTAGAACTAAAATAGTTTTTTTTTTATTTACATGCATTAAATTTATAATAAAACAAAAATATAATAAGTTTCTCTCAACATAATATTAACATTGGAAGACAGACATTCAAATAATTTAACTTAAAAAAAAACAGATTTAAGGGTTTAGTCAACAACAAAATATATTCATAATAATAGGGAATATGCATGTTTTTTTTATTTTAAAATTTCATAATTGATATATTTATAACGTAGTAAAAGAAATATACTTAGCCTTGAAAATGTTTAAAATATGAAAAAAATCGTAACACTGAATAAATTCGTGTCATTTAAACGCTGCCATTTCTGCGAGCTTTGGTTGGCGTCAAATGACACGATTTTTTACTCAAACAGTATTGACACTGAATGTAAAAATCCAATGTTCTGTCATGTGACGTCAAGCTTCGTTGCGGCCAATGGTGACGTGATTTGTAAGTTTTAATTTTCCATTTCTTATGTTGCACTTTTTATATTTTTTTATCAGGTTAAATGGGAACTAAATAAAAATAATACCTTTCAGGTATAATGTGACTTCAATTAAGATTCGGGGAAAAATATTCCAGACAAATTTCAACTAAATGCATATTCCCTATTGTCAAAATCATTTTTTGTATCATTTTTAATGACATAATATCTGAGTCAAGGAGTCACAATAAAGAAAAGAATCGATTAAAATTTTCAAATTAAAATAATTGTTTCAAAATTATATACAAACAATGTACATTGTATAATTATAATTGTTATAATGTATAATATTTTACACTCATTCATTAAAACCCAAAATAAAAGTCCTAAATTGATGATGACAAAAAATATCAGTCGTTTAATATGTATTTATGAATGGTCATGAATAAAATGAATTATCTAATAATTAATATAGGTATTTTCTTTCAAAGTAGCATGTTCATAACAATATTTACAGTGTCTTTAAGTAAAAAAATAATGACGATATGTTTATATTCATTTCATCATTAGTTGGATGAATACCCTTAAGTTTTCTATCTGGTGTAATGAGTTTACCTATACCAGCCTTTACAATTAAACTTAGACTTTATCCCACTAATTATAAAGAGCCTTTACGAGACAACAATGGCAGTGACCGTGTGAACTTCAGGTGAACCCTGGAGGCTTTATGAGATCGCTTCTTCGACCAGGGTCCACTATTCCAGATAATTGTTACATCTAACAGAAGATTCAATATTGACGTCGAACGAAAGCACATCGGCTGGTGCCGTTGTCACAGTCCTGATTCGAGAATATGCATTTAAGTGGCCACTTCCGAAAAAAACCTGTAAATAAATATATGTCTAAGTAAACAATAATGAAACGTAGCGTAGGTATATTTTAGGGTATTAAAAAACAAATGACTTATGATTAAAATGTCGTTTTTGGCCTCTATGCAAATCTCAAGAAATCAATTAAGAAACTTACTTCCCCATAATGTTAGTGAAGTCTCCATAATAGTTATTAAGATTTTCCACCATTTTGACTACGATTTTACTAATGAAAACCTGTAAATTATACTCTTCGAAGAATTAAAATCGCTTTTATTAAGTTTATTAAAAAAAAACACTAAGTCAATCGTTTTGTATTTTAGATGGAGAATTGACGCAAACTAAATACAAATTCCTTGACAAGACAGTACCTCTCACATCCTCGACAGTATTGAATCTTGCGCAACTTAATACTAAACTATCCGTAAATATTTATATAAAAGTAAACGGTAGAATCACATTGAAGTAATTTCGCTAACTATTGTTACTTAAGCTGACGTCACTTAACACTTATCACGCGAAGATCTGGAACTCGAAGAAGGGGTCTGCGGGACTTCTTAGTCCCGAATTTGCAAATCCGATGTTTGTGTCCAGCTGAAACAAAGAAAAGGTTAGATTAGTTTATTTAGTAACAAAAGAGAAGAAAATCTCACGAAAGAAAACCTGTCAATCGATTTTACTAAGATTAAATTCAATATTAATTACATCACCTTCTAAACAAACAAATGAGTTGTTAAAAGGAAGTCTTTTGGAATATTCTTATAATTTTTAATAGTTACATAAATTTGATCTGAAACGACAAGTACTTAGCTTCGAGGATAATTCCTTGCATTTACATGTATTTATCTAAGTACTCGTAGTAGAGTATAGCAAAGCAATAGAGGAATATGAAAATGAGACTTTACTGGAAAAGCCTTCAGTCGAAAGTGTCATTTAAATTATAAAAAACAACTGAACTTTAAAAAGAAACTCATGATGCAGTTATAGACATAGACAGACAATCTGATCTGAAATAAGTTTTAATTACATTCGAAATTTTATTTTTGTGCTATTATATTATTTGTAAAATCACCTGTGTATGTCGCCTAGATCACTTTACACAGGCTACGGACAACAGGCAACTTTAATATAACATGCGTTTAACATAACATGCATGTAACTATAAAAAAATCTTTAGTAAATATAATAGCAACTATAAGAGTAACCTACAATAACACAGTAACCTGCATCACAAAAGTTCATAGAATATAATTATTATTAAAAAGCAAAGTACAGGCTGGATAGAATGCCATAAGAGATAAATTATATAAAAAAACATTAGCAACACCGAAAACGTAATTTCCTGGTAAATGACCAACCTTTTTGCGGTGCAGGTTGAATAAAAAAGAAGCCGTTCTAAATTCAAAATACCTAGCGCGCTACCGCAAATTCATGGTCTGCAAGCAGGGCAGAGTACCACGGCGCCTGGCCCACGAGATCCATTGCGTCAGCGCGGAAGCTCTGCGACCGACTTTCACGGGTTATGCAACGCCAAAATCTGTTACATAACCAGACCCACAGACCCGATGTCCCACTGAGGGGGTTACGTCACAACTATATTTTTTGACGGCTGAAGTTGAATGTTAGTAGAAAGTGGAACGTGCGAAATGTCACTGTAATTATTTCATCTATTCACGGTCTTAAAGTTCATTGGATTTAGTTTAGCATGTTTTTGGGTATAGAAATTGTGTTAAGGTTTGTGGCGCGCAAAATATGAAGCTCGTTTCCTTGGTCTCCGTAGTAGCAAAAAATTGACCTCAATCTTGAACAATTTATTAATTTCATATATAAATTAATGTAAAAAAATACTGATTATGCAATACAAGACTAGGCAATACATAATAGTTAACTCAGGTTTGTTAATCAGTTGTACAAAAATATGGAAAAATACATGTTACACTAAAACCCGTCCCCAAATTAAATTTAGTGTAAGGTTTATTTTGTTTAAAGAAAGTAAACACGGTTTGATATTTACAATTCTTATACCCGGAATAAAATAAAGACATCGAGTTATGGCTACTAACTACTAATACCATTTATGGAATACGGTGGTGAGGTTTAAATTTTTGGTGCTTACCGATTTCGTAATCTTATGTTTTTATTAATACACAAGATATTTTAATGATTTGAAATGGTCTAGAAACATCCTCTTCTTTCATATTTCTAACTTATTTCTTGGATTCCAATATATGAGTCAGTTATTCTGATAGGTTAGCATTTTACTTTTGAAGAAGTAGTTGAATAAATTCCTGTCGTTTTAGTATTAAATGGAGGCCAAATGTTGATGCAATACGTGCTGTACTAGCCATCATCATAATACCAACTACAAAGTGATTCTTCACGCCTCGATGGATTACCCTTAGTGTTTATTATAGTATTTGACTTTTTTTTCTGAGTGTTTATGCTGTTGGTCGCAGATGACCTTTACATCGTCACCGGGTTTGAAGACGGCGAGATCCTAAGGGGACCTCAAACCGAGAATTGGCGAGTGCCTCTAAAGGTATTTCAGGCGGATGGCATCTCTACGGCGAGAGACTCCTCTCCATCTGGAGCCTTTAGACCACACGAACCTGAGGAGGTCGACTTAACTAGAGGGCCGTCTCTGAGCAGTTTATAAATCTAAAGAAATTATTGTCCGTCCGGTTTGCGGAAGGTGCGGCTCCGAATCCCATCTGTGGCCTGGGCCGCGTGAATTTCTTTCTTTTAAAATTTTCTTTAGATTTATAAACCTTAGCATTTTTTATTAGCATTAATCACCATGACATAGTTTTAGGAAAATAATGTCATTTGAAGGTAGAATTGAACTTTTAAGATTAAGAATGGATCAAATTTAAGGCGATTGTGATTTATATCATTGACTACCGCTGATTGCATTCCTAAAATCAATATATATATATATCGATTGTAAGTTGTACGCCTCCTGAATCCAAATAGTGGTAATTAAGGGGTAAAGTAAACTAAATTCTATTTAGTCCTTCAAATCATCGAAAAAATATTGTCATTTTTTTTGTCGTGAGTCGGCTGGGCATAATCAAAGAGTACATAATATATATGTGTATTAAGCGTAGATTTATACATACTTAAAAGCAGAGATCGGTGAAATACCGAACAAATGGGCAGTGGCACAGTGTGTGTGCAGTGAAACAATATGACAGAAATTCGGTCTGCGATAGTCAAAGCTAAGCAACTTTCGCAATGGCCAGTTAGAGGATAAATTTGCCTTCAATAGGCACATAAGCCCTTGGTTCCTGCTATATCTGCAATCGTGAACATCCGCCAATGTAGGGCATAGTAGGGCATCCTGTAGGGAATTAATAAGTAGATGATAAAGATGAATAAGGCAGTTACCCGACCGCCGGCGAGCAAGCGACTAACTATCGGCTATTTTCTCGCTCAAAAAACGTACAATAGATATGCATTCCGTGTAAATAAAACAGATACATATAGTAATTGTTGTAACTGTATTTTTTTCACCTATAGTCTATATTTAGGGTAAAACAACATTGTATAATTTTACTATGTGTTCGATAAAGATAGCAACTGGCACATGCTGTTTTTCTTTTGTTTTTAAACTTACAATTCCATTAAATGTTGCGTTTAGAATAGTGTCTGTTCCTATAACAACTATAACTTTATAACGCATTATATAAGCAATTTACGTTTAATGGGGTACGTAGGACTTAGAGGAGTTTCCGCTCGAATCGGAGCGCTCGTCTGAGTAATTAATCTCCACTTTACGGCAGCTGTCCTAGCGCTGGCGAGAAAGCGACTAACTATCGGCTCTTTTCTCTCTCAAGAAACGTATAAAAGATACATTCCGTGTAAATAACAGAGATCCATATATTAATAGTTTATAGCTGACTATTCACACTGCCGGCGAGAAGTTTTTCCACTAGTTTGTCGCTGAGCGTTAAGAGTTAACGAAGATAATACTCGCTCAGCGATGCTCAGCATCAGCCTATTAATTTTCCCACTGCTGGGGCACAGGCCTTCCCTATGGCTATTCCCTATTCCCTATAACTATCGGCTATTTTCTCTCCCAAGAAACGTATAATAGATCTATATACATTCCATGTAAATAAAAGCTACACATATTAATAGTTGATCGCTGACTGTTTACACTCCGGTTTGTCACGGCGAACGAGTGGAGCGAGTAATCGCCCGTCTTACTCGCACACTCGCTTACAGCCCACCGATAAAACTATCAGCCTATGCATTCGCTTCTTTCTGATCATCAATTCTTTACGAGTCTCTATCTCTACTCGCTCCTCGTTCATCGTTGGCGGTGGGCTGATAATACCGTGACTATTTTAACGTGCACGCACGGGAGTGTACTAAACTACAGAGTTCATGTTCTTTTTAATGCACTACACCAACAATGTACAAAAAAGGTTTTCCCTTAACATAATGGTCGATTTGTTGCTTTTTCAAAAGAATCCCTATTGCTGGGTGTAACAGTCACTTGTTTGTTAACCGTGTCTATGTGAGCGTCAAATTAGGCCAGGTCACCAAACTTTCCGGGATGAGATAGTACATCGTTGTCCACGTATGCTAGTATGTTAATTTACAGATTTTGTATCGGCTTAACAGCTTTTTAACTTGGGAGTGTTTTAGATAAAGCGTGTGTAGCGTGATAACTGTCATGGAAAATAAATTTTGATTAGGAGAAATGCATTTGTATAAAAAAAATCAAATAAGCAAAGTTTTAAAAATAGTAGACTTTTCTAAGACGTTTGTTTATGTATGTCACAAGAGAATTATTTACTGAAATAGTTGAAAAATTCTACTTCGGTATGCAAGAAAGACTGAGGATATTAAAATATATAGGTACCCAATTATAATTTTATAATAACCGCGAATGGAGAAAGAATTATATTTTTTTCGGGAATAAGTGAACAAAATTTAGTTTTGGTCAACCTACCTTTATTACCAGATATTGTGAGAATTTTTTAAGCATCGTAGGCAAAACCAAATGACATGAATGAATTAATGGTTCATCAGTCTTTGTATCACTCAGTAAGTGATGTTTAACTGTATCTTTTTTTTCACCTATAGTGTTGTATATTTAGGCTAAAACGACATTGTATAATTTTACTATGTGTGCAATAAAGATAGCAACGGGCACATGCTTCTTTCTGCTCTTTTGTTTTTAACTTACAATTTCAGGAAATGTTGCGTTTAGAATAGTGTCTGCTCCTTTAACAACTATAACTATAATTCTATCTCCTCCGCTGTGTAAGTGGATGATTTCTGCCAGGGGTTGAGAAAAATGTTTAAAAAAAAAACTTACATATTTTAATTTTCCCTATTTTGCGTTTTGTCATATTTAGTAATGGTTTTAATTTACACATCTAAAATATATATACGTTTGTAGAGAAACTATTCAGGATTGATTTAAGACATTAATGGAGCCTGCATGTAAAGTAGAATTCGATAATAAAATAAAATCGGAAATAAATAAAAACTAAGTTGATGGTGGCTACACAGCTGGGGGGGCATGCTATAATGCATTTTAAGAGCAATTTACGTTTTAATGAGGTAGGTAGGATAGTGAA